TTGTTGTTCAGAAAAGGTGTGGATGAAGCACATTTTTCTTAAATTTGGAACTGAGGTACAAGCCATTGACCTTTTCTAGGACCATACTTGTGCGGCTAACGTTTCCAAATATTCTGTTCAACATTCTCTTAAGCGTACTAGCATGCGTTGCCACTATACTAGAAATTTGGTTGATGATGGTTTAATTGTTCATAAATATGTTCCAGCACATAACCTTGATGCTCAAAGATTTATTTCTCTAAGGAAATCCTTAGGGATATGCACTCTCTGATTGCTTGCATGTCATTATATTATATTATATTGTATATTAGTATATATATATATTTATCGCATTGCTTGTAAGCATATAGGGTATATTGCATTAGGCATGCTATTGCATCTTGCATTCTCTTCACCACTAGATTCTTAATTGAAGTTATGATTTTTCTGAAAACTTGAGCGATGTTGACTGTCATAGACTGGCTGCGTATTCTTACTATACTGAGGAACATACTTATTTTTAGTATTTTTTTATTTTTTTTATTTTTTTGTCAAAAAGAGCTGCCTTCTCATAAATGATCTAGAGCGATAGCTAGCACATGGTTCGTTTCCCAATGTTGGATCGACTGTGAAAAGAGCGTCTGGGACAGAAAATGTTGAGAAAGGGCGTAAGCTAGTGACACACATTGCATATTTTTGTGTGATGTTTTTATGCGGAGTTATAAGGTGGTCACCTTCATAAAAACCGTAGTGCAAAAAAAAAAAAAAAAAAAAAAAACGTAGGATTCTTGCTTAAAATCGTGGTGCAAAGTAGTGGGGTTGACTTTCACTATTGCAGTGATTGTTACTAAGTGAAACGCACTATGAATAATAAGGCATGTGTTCTTGCAAAAATCTGAAATTGTGGTTCGCACTACATTGTGTATATACATATATCCGCTTATCGTGTGTTCCTCAGAAGTTTGAATCTCAAAGTTGATCTCTGATTGTTATCATCAAACTTGTTTAAGTTGATAAGGAAAAGATTTTATGGATCTAGTGAATTTTGTGTGCGATTTTATTTTTTTCATACTAGGCATATATTGCATAAGATTTCCTTCTTTGATTGAATTACTTGGGCATTAAAAATTTGTGAGGGAATTTATTTTTGGATGATGAAATCTTATTCTTCCTAATTTTGAATTAGTTGGACACATGTGTTAGTGTGTTAATGGGTTTGTGTGTTCAGTTTTGATGGGAATGTTCTTACTGCATAGTATCGAACCTTTCCCTTGATTTTTTAAGCCTTACCCATTACATCCTGACATTTTTCATTCATTATGTCCTCACTATATATCTTCATTTTCAGAACCTGAGAACCCCATTTTCATTCTCTTTCTCTATGAATTATTCGTTTAACCATTTGTGTTCCTACATCATTTTCTAATGTGCTTCTGAAACACTTTGGATGATGGCAAAGGCCTGGAGAAGAGATGGACAACATCCCAGCGATTAGAGATCAGTTCAAGCAACGTCTTTTGTCTTCGGTCATCTATATTTTTTTCTCACTTGATGTTCTTACTCAGGGGGAGATTTGCCTTTGGCATTTCAGTCTAAAAAGGGGGAGAATATAGGATGTTTCTGAAGATGTTCGGGATTATATTCTAGTTGTTTGCTTCTGATTATTTGTGGTTGCTTTTTTTGACATGGTTCTACAGGATGTAAGAACATGTATGTTTTGCTGTTTGATTGTCTTGTCTATTCTGACAGGGGGAGATGCATTGGTCACTCTATTTGACTTAGGTTCTGATAGCTTGATGTGTTTTGATTGCTTTGATCATAGTCCTCATAGTTGTTTTGATAGGAACTGTTCTGATGTTCTTGCATCGCAGGTGTTTGAGTAGTTACTTCCTGATGTTCGCACATAGATATTTGCTTTGCTGTTTTGAGTTTATTTTGTAGGTTATCTTCAAGAAACACGGTTTTCGAACTGAATGCCAAAGGGGGAGATTGTAAGAACATTGGTTTGGCATCATGTCCGACAAACCTAAGTGTTTTCTAGAAGATTTCTTGTTAAGCAAGCAAAATAAATTAAAGGGAAGTTTTTCTATTTATTTACTTGTGATTTAATTAAGTTCCTAATATTTATTATTAATAATATATGGTATATATTCATTGTAGTATGTATTATGGAATCCTAATCCTTTAGGAGAAGGATTACATAATATATATCTTATATATTTACTTACCATATATGCCACATGCCATAAGTAGTTCTCTTTTGCTTGTAGGACAAGGAATAGGTGGCAAGGACTATGAAAGGATGAGCTTTACATACAAGAAGAGATCTGGACGTTCATGAGAAGATCTAAGGAGGATTTGGAAAGATTCACCACAAGATCTTTGAAGATTTGGAAGATCGGCTATTTTTGGAAAGTCATGTTCTTACCAGATTCTGGAAGGCAAGATTTCCATTGGAAGTTCAATTCTGAAGATCTCCAAATCACATGCACGATTTATACATCAAGGAAACTTACCTTACATGAAGGATGTCGTCCAAATCAGAAAGCAATCTATTGAGAAGGAAATTGACTCCTAAAAGGAAAGGAAGAACTTGGAGAAGACTCCACCCTAAGGAGTTGTATATATACCCTGCTTGAAGATCGAAGATATACGGCTGAGATAATTATCTTTCATTCAATATTCGAGCTTCAAGCCTTTTTGGTTTTATTTTGTTCACAGTTCAGTTCAAGGTTCTTACGTATCCAAGAACTGAAGCTGTTTAGTTTGTTTCTTTTTATTTCATTCAAACACTTTTGTGATCAGTACTTAGGGATTAAGTACAGTGGTTAGCTCGAGGGATTCGAGAGTTAGAAGTCCACGGGACGTGGCCGGAGAAGTAATTGATAGGATCGTGTGTAGTTGTGGCTAGACTAGAAGGGAGTTCGAGTCGTGTAAGTCCAAACTATACAAGTGTGAACGGTTTATCAATGAAAGAGCTCTGAGGGGAAGTGGGACGCTTCCCTGAAGAGTTTTTACATCTTCGGTTTATTGCTTCCGCTTTTTACAATTGTTTACCACGTTCTTACATCGTTTTGCGCACTCGAGTTAAAAATATACGTTTCAAATTCTTTAAACAAGCTCCCATAGGTTAGGCAATCTGTTTAATTTCACACGCCACTATACGTCTATACACACACACACAAACAAACAGTTATCCCTATAAATGCATCACACATTCACATTCTTTTGCCCCATATCATCAACTACTGATCATTATCTTCTTCACAAACAAACCCCACCATATGAAGACAACAACGTTAATCCTGGCCATAGTCCTCTCCCTCCTCCCTCCCGCCGCCCTCTCCTCCGACGAGAGATGCAACCCACATGACAAAAAGGTCCTCCTGCAAATCAAACGCGCTTTCAACAACCCTTACCACCTCGCCTCATGGGACCCTTCCACCGACTGCTGCACCTGGTATGTCGTCGAGTGTGACGACCGGACCAACCGTATCAACCAGCTCCACCTTTTCGCCGCCAATGTCTCCAGCCAGATCCCGCCGGCCGTGGCCGACCTCCCCTACCTCGAGCTCCTCACCTTCCACAAGATCACCAATCTAACCGGCCCCATCCCCCGGGCCCTCGCCCGTCTCACCAACCTCAGATCGCTCACCATCAGCTGGACCAACGTCTCGGGCCCCGTGCCTGCATTCCTTGCCGACCTAAAAAACCTCACGTCTCTCGATTTGTCGTTCAACCAACTGACCGGCCCGATTCCTCCCGAGCTGGCCCAGCTCAGGAACCTGGACGGGCTGAGGTTGGACCGGAACAGGCTCACGGGCCCAATACCCGACTCGTTCGGGGATTTGACCCCGAGCCTGCAGTATCTGTACCTGTCCCATAACCAGATCACGGGGAATGTGCCGAGAGTTATGGGTAAATTGAACTTCACATTGATCGAGCTACAGAGGAACAGGATCGAGGGCGATATATCGTTCTTGTTCGGCAAGAATAAGACGGTACAGGTTGTCGACTTCTCCAAGAATATGTTGGAGTTTAACCTGTCGAGCGTGGAGTTTCCGGATAGCTTGACGAGCTTGGACTTGAACCACAACAGAATTTACGGGAGCCTGCCGGCAGGGCTGGTGAATTTGGCTTCTCTGTATTTGAACGTAAGCTATAACAGGCTGTGTGGTCCGATTCCAGTTGGGGGGCGGCTGCAGGAGTTGGATTCCACTTCCTATTTTCACAATAGGTGCTTGTGTGACGGGGGGAAAGCGTTACTGTCCATCACTTCAATAGCATATAGTACGTTCGTCACTCACCGGAACTTCAAGTATTATGAAGCATGAAATTTAAGTAAAATTGTAATTGTTATTAATATGTTATTAAGTATTTAAAAAATACTCAAACAATTTTCCATTCATTCAACTTTGGTAAGATGGCCAAGTTTAAATAATTGAATTAACCAACCTACTTAGACACAATTATCTAACATAATGGATGACCCTCTGTATTTGTTGTGTATTTTGGGCTAGTTGGCCCAAAAAAAAAACTCTCAAATTGTCCAACAAAATTTTAAAAGAAAATGTTAAAGTACATAATAAATGTACATAGAGGTGCACATAACATTCACATGGATTGCAATCCACTTTATTTTTGTTTTAAATTTTGGTAGGTCTTTTAGTACAATATTATGCACCTATGCTGCATTACTCATTTAAAATAGGATGAATGAGATGGTTTGAGTCTCTTCCAGCTTAACCAGTAGTCTCGTGTTCGAGCCATGGGAATGCAGCAGTGTTAAAACTCTTGAGGGAGAGCTTTGCCGCCCTTGTGGTCCTACCCGGCTCGATTCTTGATTAATCGATTTTCCTTTGGATCCAGAAACCGGAAGGTCTCTGTACCAAAAAAAAAATTGGAAGAAACCATTCGTATTGATGGCAAAAAAAAAAAAAAAAA